CAAAAAAACCCGTAGTATTAGTTTGGCAATCTGCAATGCATGTTTGGTAAGGAACTAGTAACAAGAGTGGAGACAAATGGATTAAAAGGGCTCTCGCTGACTTGAAGCAACTGCATAAGCGTTCTGATATGCAAAGAATGATTTTAAAATTATTTTTTAAACTGCCAAACTTGCCATTTTATGTGTTTTACATCTTGTGTTGCATCATTTCCCGCTTACCATCGATGCTTTTGAAGTCCAAGAGATAGCTGCGGTTGTCAACCTGGTAGAGCTGCAGGCTCATCTTCACGTAATTGCCTGTCACCGGGTTCTTGCGGCGCACTCTGAGATGGTAGGAGTTCACCACCTGCAACGGGAAACTTGCTTTCAGGAGTAAGATTCAAGGTAGTAAGAAGAACATTTTTTTTACTTATTTTTTTCTAAATACTAGCAAGACATCTTCTGAGAAAAACAGAGTTCCTAGAAAGAATAATGCCTATAAAATTAAGCAAACAGCTTCACATCCTGTTTCCTCCTCTCTCTGAAAAATGCTTCTCAGGGCTCTGATTCTCCAGCTGCTGGCAGACGAAGCTGCCGCGACCCATCTGCCAGGCACCAAACTGATGTGCCCATGAAACCAGGGCAGGCTGGGCAGCTGGGGACAGTAACCTCTCCCACCAGCGCAGCTGAAGTCACCGTTCATGAATCAGCCTTGAGCTGTGTATTTCCTCTCGCCGCTTCCCAGCCCACGATCTGCTGCATCTCGTTTGCAATGAGATCTTTTCTCCGTGCTATATTTACGAAGCAATTGCATGGATGGGAAAGCTATTTTGATGGAAGAGTCACACCTGGAGTTATTCTTAGGGTGGGAAAGACTATTGTGAAACCTCCTCGTACAAACTAAGCTCCACTGCCCACACGAAGACGTTGAGCTGACTTGGTTTGTGAAGCTCTACCAGAAATACATCAGGTTTGCTTATTCTCTGTAAAACTACGCAGCTAACAAATGTCTGGCTGCTGTAGGCATATGCATCTGGAGACAGTCCATCTCCTGGCTGGGGCGTGAAATCAGGTTTCTGGGCGCTACTTGGCTTTAAATACGTAATTTTATCAAAAATAAGGAGGAGATAGGAGGCTTTGAAGAAGTGGCACAGTGACGTTCACACTGTAACAACCCTTGGGACCTGGAGCGAGGAGAGTATCTCCGCTGGGGATGAAGATTTGGACTGAAATTCTCCTCACCTTGCTCCTGACGTTTGCACAAGGCTGCTGCCACGAGTCAGGAGAGCTCACGTCAGCGACTGCACCGGGATTTGGGGAATCAGGCTCAGCAGAAAACATTAAGAGCCAACTTAGGGATTTAGTAATTGGACTTTGGAAAAGATTGTGACTAAATACTGTGTAGCTCTGAAGAAATATCTGAAGGGAGTACTGTTAACTAAAATGTCATCTGGGTTTCAATCGAGCTTCAAGAAGCTGAGCCCTAAACCGGGGAATCAGTAAGTGTCTGAAAGCACATCTGGCCCACGACCACCGCTCCGTCGAGGAAAATGCCACCACATCAGTGGCACAAACTCCCGCCCCCACCGCCTCCCTGCCCCTCACCTGTGCATCTTTTCAGAAGATGCGTACCACGCCATTTCAGCGCACGTGACTGCTAAGATCCAAGCAGAAATAATAAGAGTTACTTTGCTCAGGAGCTCTCGAGATGACCTCACAAGGAATTAGCCACTAAAATTAGAAATGTGACCAGCTCCTCTTAACCCCACAGTTAAAGGAGGCAGATTCATCTTTCCAGTGAGAGGCTTAAGAGCATTGAGAAAGAAAACTCTTATTTTGCGCCATAAACAAACACCACAGATACTGAACCACAGCCAGCATCTTAATTCAGCGTCTTTGTATCAATGAGAAACAACAGGGCTGACGGTTTATTTGGAAACAGGTGAGGCTGTAACCATACTTATGCACCTCCCTGAGCAATTCTGCTCACGAGAAAAAGACCCTTGAAATCCAGCACGAAGCACCAGCACTCCCTACCTTCCACTCGAAGTCCAGCTGCTTCATAGCGCGGTACACCTCGGCCATGATGTCATAGGGTTTGCTCTGGCTGCGGATTCCCAGGTGCCACTTGGCCTTTTTGACAGTCAGGGGTTTTGGCTTCGTGGTGTTGAGGGCATCCAAAGGACAGCGCGCTTTGGGGCTGTCCGCTATCAACGGCGGCATCCGCTCGGGGTGCGGCTTCACCCCGGGAGGGATGTGCATGGCGCTGTCGTCCATGAAGGAGCCGGTCGGGGGGCTGGAGGCAAGGTAGAACTCGCTGGCTTGGTTCATGATCCGCCGGTTGTCGATGACGAGGTGGTAAGCCACTGCCAGCTGGTCCTGAGGGTCACCGCTGTACAGGCTGTTCATCACCTCCGACTCTGTGCATTCAAACTTCTCACAAACTTCCCGAACCGCGTCGTCGTCGATGACAGTGGCGTCGTAGGAAGGGTCCTCTGGGAACAGGTAACTGGGCAGCTCCTCCTTAAACCACTCGTGTTCCCTGGGGAAAGGCAGGGAGAAGCCACCGTGAGCTCGGTGCAAGGTGAACCATTGCCACCAGTCCCCGGCTTTCTCCCCAAAAGCATCCGGGCAGCCTCGTCCCGGTGGTTAAAGCATTTCATCGAGGAGTAAGCAATGTGCTTCCAGCACGGTGACTCCAAATCCTCTCTTGCCAGCACCAAGCCACACAGGCACCGGCAAACAAAATCAAGTCGACGTTCCTAAAAGAGCAGCAGTTTTTAAACTGGGGAGGAAGTGGCCAAAATGAGTCTCCTGACACGGGAGGTGGGGATGCAAAATTGGGTGACTGCACATACCTCACCTGTATTGCTTGGTCTAGCTAAAACTAATCCTTGGCCGCAGAATGGGGAGCTCAACCCAGCCCTGCACAGTCCCCCCAGTATTGGAACAGCGATGACACTTTGCAAGCGTGGCTGCTTGCTCACCTGGCTCTGCAGTAAGACCTCAGCACTTACTCATGCTTTTTGATTACTATGGGCCTGACAGGGATACAGAGCACCAAAGCTATCCAGATACCCGATTCTCACTGATTTACAATAAAGTCAATGATAATTAAGTGCTAAATGCCAGAGAGAGGTTTGTCCATAGGTTCTACGTAGCAGCTGTAATCTTGCCACGCGTGCTGCTGCTCTAACATGTAATTAAATCCTCTAGTCTTAAGGACTTAAGAATTAAAAAAGGCATTTTACTTGGTTTTACTTGAAGGGTAAAATTAAGGCCATCCATCGCAAATGCATTAAAAACCTGACAACTCCTGAAAGCCCCAGTAACATTTACATGTATGCTTAGCACACCAGCTAGAAGTAATCATTACTATAAACTTCATAAAATGCCTCTCAGGCTCCAGTTTTACAAAACGTTTCTAAAATGCCTCAGATATTGCGAGAATTTTGAAGTCCTACTGCCAGCCATGAACTTTTAATGATCTCTGAAGGCACAAATACCTGCTTGAGAGCCCAGTTGTTCCCTTGACCTTGAATCTCCAGTGATGCATGCAGACAAAATGTTGACGGGCACTGCACTCATTGATTAGACAAGAAAACTACACCACATCTAAAGAGGAACCATTTGCTCATATTTTAAACTATATCCGATATTTAAGGATTAAGTTAGTAATTCTTGCATTCCTCCTCCTTTTTTATTGGATAGACACTAAGTACAATGATTACCCTCTTACTCTGAACTGGTACGCAGAGGGAGGTGGTCCTGAAATAAAGTAATGAAAAATGGCTGGTGGATATTAAGTTCTTAGGATTATTGCACGATATAGCTGGTTTTGCTAAGCACCATAAAGAGAATTTTTTAGGCTATTTTATAATGCAGTAAAATAGCATTTCATATATATATATACACACACACATAATACGTATAAAGTCACCACCCTGTGCATCATCACCCACGTCTCCATTGGCACAGAAGGGTGCAGGAGTGCTCCTTGAATCACTCAGGACAAAAACCAGCTGCATTAGCCAACTATTCCTGTAAACCACCCTGCCTACCCCCAGGACAGCCACCACCCTCTGCCACCAGTACGCCGGAGCCGCCCCGAACACAGCCAGCCCACCCCGTCCCACCCGGGCTGACCTGATGTCCTTGATGGTTGCTCGCTTGAGAGGGTCAACCTGCAGCATGTGCATGAGGAGAGTGGCAACGGAGCGGTTGAGGTATTCAGGGATGTAAAACACACCTCCCCGGATTTTCTTGAAGAGGGTGGGGACGTGCTCGTCGTCGAACGGCAGAGTGCCGCAGAGAAGGGCATAGAGGATAACGCCGCAGCTCCAGATGTCCACCTCTGGGCCAGCGTACAGCCTGCGTGAAGGCAAGGGCAGGAGGAAGGTGTCATCCTCCTCGTCCTCCTCTCTTTAGGGTGCAGGTCCCACTGGGTGAGCTGGGGACCCGCTGCCAGCTCCATGGGGGCCAGAGCTGCAGCCCACCCCAGGGTGGCTGACGTGGATCCCCCCAACCAAACCTGCCTAAGCCACAATCACCCAAGGGCAAGGGGAAAAGACGCGGCAGAGCTGGCGTGGGCTGCCCACGCTCCCGTGGATGGCCGTGCACGTCCCTGCCTCCACCAGACCCTCCAAAAAGCCAAACCCCACATTTCCAAGAGCTCTGCCAGGCTATTTGCTCCTTTGCCCCAAGGGCTCAGCCAGCAATTTCTGTTCACTCGGTGAGGCAGATTAAACAGCACCAGATACTGTATCTCTGAGGGTTTATTTTCGGTTGAAGTTTCTGTGCCGGTATGCAAGTGCTCCTGCTTCCGACAAGCTGCTAATGCGCTCCCTGGCATCACCAAGTCGAGACACCCCAAATATATGGGTTCTGCTGCTGCTTGCTTGCTCAATTTGTTTATCTCTTTTTGCTACATCCCATGCTTTCTTTCTCAGAGGTTTTGTGCGGCAGTGCCTACCCTTGGGCTGCAAAATCCTACCAAAATACAGAGGCCGAAATGGAAATACAGAACTGTTTTCATGAAGCAGCAGCATCCTCCATGCGCTTGTTCCTCCTGAAAAGCACCGATGCAGACACACCGGTGTACAAGAAGACCGGCCACGCATGCAGTCATTCTCTGAACACCACCAAAGCACCGACTCTGCTGTCCAAGGGCGAGACTTTCCCTGCTGAGGCCAGGGACAGCAGCAAAGCCGTTTTGGAAAAGGGGACCATTAGCTAGATGCCCCCTTGGTCCTGCCTCCATGCCTGATGCTAACAGATAGGAAGCCTGATGCTTTTGCTGATAACCACACTACCTGAACAGCCGATTGGACTTTCAAGCCCAAATGAGACGCACTTTACGACGCTGAAAGCTGAACTTTCACGCTCCATTCCTTCCCGCTCTACCCAGCAAAGGCAGCAGGAGCCGGGCAGCAGCTCAGCCCTGCCCCGCACACCCACCCAAGGCGTGCATCCCGCTGCAGGAACAGCACGCCGTGCCTCCCCCCGCCACGTGTAGCTCTCGTACACTGCGATGGCTCTGAGAAAAGGGCAGCTTGGCGTACGATTCAGGGGGATAAAGCTCGAGCATCACTGATACTGTAAGCGGTACTGATGCGGGAGGGCTGCAGCGGCAGCCAGTGAACAAGTGCAACACGTAGGCTTGGGTTTGGGTTTCTTTCTTACTTTTGTCGTTAATAAGCTGTTTTGCCTGTACCCTTTGAGCGATCAGGCTCTGCATACAGGGACTAAAGCCTTCTTGTTAATCTGCCTTGTCTCCTATACGAACTGAAAAAAATGCACTGCTGGCCTTTACTGAAAAGGACATGGAAATAATACTAATTTTTTTTTGGAATCACGGTAGTTTCTGGCTTTGTCCCCCTCTTGACAATGAGGATTTACTTGCTTTCGCATGCAGTCACAACAGGGGTTTTGGATGCTGGTCTAATTCCTAGGATACTCTGCCAACACTTGCACTGCTGTAAACAGGGATAAAATAAACATAATCACAGTGAACATACTTTGAACAAAATGTTGTATTTAAAAGCTACAGTTGTAGGCAAAAATGCACTGGATTAGGAAAACTAATGCTCACGCAAGGCGTGATTCAAAAATACGGGGCAGATAATAAGGACATGGGCAGTTTGCAGGACCATACAGAGGGCTGCAAATTTGAAAATCTGCATTTGCAATCCTTGCTATGCTATTATGGAGAGAATTAGGGAAATAAGTACATTCTGTGTAACTTAGGTTCCTGACAATAAGATATAGGAGGTAACACTTCTGTATCAACATGGCAAAGTCCAATTCAACCTTGCAGAGTGCGTTCAACGTGCCGTGCGTTGTACGGATGTTGCACACTGAGAGACGCAACCACAACGGAGGTTTGTGAATTCAATTCATCAACTCAAAACAAAGTTATGATGGTTGTACCTACCAAAAAAAAAAACCCTCTAGGTTAAGGAAGCAGAAGACAAGTATTTTCAATACAAGAGTTCGACAGCGTAGGGAAGTGATTAAAGATCTTCCTGATTCTTCTGTTAGTGAATAGTTTTCCCCCTTAACACTGTGTTCTATATTATAGGTGGGCAGGAGAGAAGGGGGGCACCTGGAAAAGCCTTTCCATCTGAAACCTCGGAATTTGCATCCAAAGAGTAATTTTCACCCTCTTTAATTAGCAATATAAAACAGTCAACATCAGCTATTAATAATTCCTCCAAAGTAAACATCTTTAGCAAAAGATGTTTTGCCATTACAGCTATTGAGAAATGTAATAACCAAGAAAACATTCAGATTTTTGCCAGCGGATTCACCCAAACGTAAAATACAGGCTGGAAGGATTCAGCTGCTTTTACTAGATGTGCAAAGCCGTTTCCAATCCCAAGAAGAAATTTAAAGACCGTGTGCTCACATAGGCTCTGATTAGAAGTGACATGTCCTACCTTCCAGAGATGACTTCAGGGGCTGCATAATTTGGGGAACCACAGCTGGTGCGTAGAAATTCGCCATCTGACATCATGTTGGACAAGCCTAAAAACAAGATGTTTACTATATATTGACATTTGATGTGAAGGTCCAGCCATAGAGGACTCCATGTTGCACAGAGGAGGAGAGGTATCACAACTACAGGGGGAAATTTGGAGGGGAACCGTTGACCTAATTTAGATAGACTCCTTTGAGCTAATTTGCAAATTTTTAATTTTTTTTTTCCACATCGAACCAAGGAATATTCATTCCGGGCTAATTTCGCTTCTTTAAGTTGCAAATCCATGAGTTTTCTGTCTTTAGCACAGAGGAAAAGAGACATAATTCATCCCAGAGCACTTACTTTATATGGGAATTGTGTGCGGTTGTGAAATTTGTAAATCTTCAAAAGGATTTATCGCTGCTAGAAAGGACTCACCGGGACGGAGCTGGTAGCCCAGGTATTTCAATAGATTTCAATCGGTAATGCCACTTAAAGACTCCTGTTACTGCTCATTTGTAAAATGAAGTGAGGCCAAGAGCACATGGCCAAACGTACGGAGAACACGCATGAAAATAAACACACACAGCCAGCTCACCCTGGAATTAACTGCACCGAGTCTGTCTTAAACATAAATTAGCTAAATCTTTATATTAGGTGATTATACTAAAACGTAGCAAAGATTTGCAAATTACTTTGCTGCTCCATTCTTAATGCCAGGACAGAAGCAGCCTACAATAAGTAATCCCTGCTTTTGCGAAAAGGCCGGTGTTTATAACTCTGGGCTTTTCAGGTAAAGCAACTGCTAGTGGTTAGGAAAACAGGCTCTGGGTTTTGTAAGGCGTGCTACACGGACACGCTCCAGCAAGCGCCTCGGAGCTGGCTGCATTTCTGGAATGCTGCTGGGGTCACATACCAAAATCGGCTATCTTTGCATTCATATGTGCATCCAGCAGCACGTTCTCTGGTTTCAGGTCTCGGTGGACAACCATGTGTCTGTGGCAGTAATCCACCGCGGAGAGAATCTGCTGGAAAAGGCGTCGAGCTTCTGCCTCTTCAACCTAAAGGTGCAAGGGGAAACAGTCCTGAAGGTTGGGCTGCGTGCGGAGCTGGCAAGGGAAGGTTTGACTTAGCAAGGAGCCAAAATTTTCCAGGGTGCAGAGAGAAAATCACAGCGTGCTTGTGACCAGAAGCAGAAAATAAAGCAGATTTCCCCCCTCTTGCGTTTTATAATGTGCTAGTGTTTTCAAATTATATAGCCCAGAGATGAAATCAGAAACCTAAGTCAGAAACCTAAATTTAGCTGAGCTGTTGAGGAGAACTTATTGGTGGCACCTCTGAGGCAACGGCCTGCTGTCCCAAGGGGACCAGTTCTGCTATACGGCACGTGCAGATCGGGGCTGGACAAAACACCCCAGAGGATGCTGCAGGGAGTAATTCCTCATGGACAGATGGCTTTGGGAAAATAAAGCTAAAGGTGTAATACTGTGATGATTTTAATTAGCTATGTAGCTATATTAGCTATAAAGGGGTATAAGCTCTATTATAGAAATTATATTTAAAATGATGTGGAGACTGATTATTTTTACTGATGACTTCCTAAAGACTCTCTTCATGAAAATTCAGTTTCTGAATGCAAAAGTTCAGAAAAGATCCAAATTAGTCACTGAAAAGATACAAATGGGTAAAATGTGCTTGGAAATCAGAACTGTACGTCGAAAAGTAAATGGAGTCAGCTCCATCGACCAGTACACTCATCTAAACCAATTTACTGTAGATGTATCGGCTTTTTGTAGTACAGAGGGGAAACGTATGATGGGCTGATCCTTCACCTGAAGCCTTATTCTGGATGTCCACTTCAGCCCAGTTTCATCTCCTTGCCCTGCGACTGCTCCCTGCCTCCGAGGATGTCCACAGGGCCGACACTAGTGATTTTCTTTGTAACCATAATATCACCTCTCATGGGCTCAACCCACACCTCAGGTGATTTATGGCCAGCAGGATTACTGGCATTTGAAAATGTTGTTCAGATAAGCCACATCCTTAAAAAGCCTTCAAAAAACCCAACGTGGAGCCAAGGGGGAGCCCGGGGGAGGTGAATGACTGGGGTAGAGACCACACCGAGTGGTCTTCCTGTCCAATGCCATAAATCTGCTGCGGAACCGTGGGGGTTTTCACAGGCAATCCATAGCTAAAAATTGTAAAAATATGCTAGATTTCCAAATATTTGCACTAAGCAACATGTTGCCTCGGATATTTTGGTTTGCGTATCAAAATACATCAGAGAACGTTGCAAAAAAATCGCACGCAACTTTTGTGCGAGGCGGGTACGAGACACTCCAGATGGGATTGCGGTGAAGCAACTTCTATTTCGGGCCTTAACCTTAACCGCGTTCCCTTTAGCAGTCGTTTTGCTTCTAAACACCATCCCCTTCCCACACAAGTGTTTGGGCTGACACGGTACTGGCACTTACACGTCCATGCTTACAGATGTAATCAAATAATTCACCACCAGATACGTATTCCATGACCATGAAGAAGTCTGTTGGCGTGCTGATGACCTGGTACCTTCAAAATCACAAGCAGATTTAGAAAAAAAAAAAAATAGTAATTAAGAGGAACAGGGAAAGGCTTTTAAATAGATTACTAGTTTCATGTCAACCCTTAAAATAAGCATTTGTTTGGATCTTGTGTTTATAATTGCTTTCCACTTCTGAAAAGCCATCTCTTATTTCAAGTATAATCTTTCACTTGTCTATGAAAGGATCTCTTTTACAGACCTACAGTTTTCCTTCAAGCTTTGAAATAATCCTCTGAGATATTTGCCAGACAATCCCATCACATTTAGGATTCTCCTGACTTTCAAATTTCCATTTTGCCTAAGATCTGCAACAACAGCTTTAGAAATGAAGGCTTCGTTAGCTGGGGGCAGGGAGGGGGTATATCTGGTTTCCCTCGTATCAAGCATAAAGAAGATCAAGAACTCTAGACACTAGAGGGAGCTTGCTTTGGAAAGGTATAGAAACAAAGATGAGCACCCCAAAAGATCACAGCTATTTTAAAATATTAAATCCCTCTATATTCTAGGTTGGGAAAAAAAAAAAAAATACTATCACGCTTGACTCACAAATTTATTCTCCATTTTCATTCAAAATGATCCCTGAGTGCTGCAAAGGCATTTCAGTGTCCCACCTGGTACAAACTGCCAGTGATCAGCTGAGGTCAGTGCAGCTACAGGGATTCACAGCAGCACCAGCTGAGACCCCTCTCTGTTTTATTTCAGACACATTGTTGTTTGCACTTTTTTTTTTTTTTTTTTACAGCCAAATTTCCATGGGTTATAATTTGAAACAAACAGATTTCAAACAATTTTCAAAGATCAGCAAGCGAACGGGTGATAGTCCCATACAGATCAATAGGATCGACTAAATTTTTCTGAAGTGCTTTGGACTCAGGCATCTAAGTTACTGTTAATTGTCCTACTATTTCTTTTCTACAATGTAAAAAGCTCTCAAAAGAGGTTTATGTACCATCGTCTCCTCCTCACCTCTTTTCTCAATCACTGTATTTCGTGATTGCAGTATGCACCGTAGGACACTGACATTGTTAAACTGGGTTTAATTTTTAGGCTTTAATATTTTGACAAATGTGCGAACGGGACTTAACTTGCAGGATGCTGGAAGCACAGCTGAGGACTCTTGCTGGCTTTTTCGTGCAATAATACCAATCTGTTCCCCAATAAATCCAGGCAACTGTGAAGTTACTCTAAAGTCAACAGCTGCTGCATGGTTAGTTATTTAACTGTAGAGAGAATTTGTTTTCCCTTGCCTCTAAGTCCCAGGTATTTGCTATATCTCATGCCAGTTTTAAGGCTGACCTAAATGTCAGCTTATCCTTGCAGTTACCATTCAACAGCTTTCTTTTATAGAAATGCCAAAGATATTATCGAGTGCCTCATTAATGTGGACTGGCTGCACAAACTGGGGATTGAGAAGGAATCCCAGAGGCTGGAGTGCAGGTGCTGATTTACAACTTAAATTCAGGTTCATCAGACTGGCAACTTTGAAAACTTATGTCTGAATAATAAATTTTTTTTAAAAATGTTCCTTTAAGCTCTGGATAATCAGGCCATTAAAACGTAAATCCTATTGACTTCAGGCCAAGGCTTCACTCTACAAGCCTGACCGTGCTGCAGCTCCTCAGGCACAATTCTCAGTAGCTTGAAGTCTGGAGGTATCAAGCCTAAAAAGGGTCATCACCAAAAACTCCTAATAGCATCCCAACACAGGAAAGCCCGGACCCTCTCTATGCACTTTTATAATGGCCTCTGCATGAAAGAGAGGACAGCTTGGAGAGGTTTAGCTGAGCAAAACCTGGCACAGGGACATCGGTCTGTTGGCTGTTACAATAACCCAGGCTCCCAATGGAAGAAACGTCTTCCATCATTTCTCAAAGTGTCAGCTCTGCCCCCTGTAAGTTAATGGGAGACTCTCAAAAAGTAACATTTGGCTCCAACATACAAAAACTTGACCACGCACCTACTACTGGACATCTACTACTGCTCTAAGCCATCTCCTGAAACCAATTCAATTGTGCACGTGAAGTCTTTGCAGATGGAGGAGTAAGCCGAACGTGTGGCAGAAAGGGTACTCACAGTTTGATAATATGAGGGTGCCGGAAGAGTTTAAGGTTTTGAATTTCTCTTTTGATCTTCCCAACCACATCCAGACTGCGTATTTTCTGTCTGTTTAGTATTTTTACTGCTACTTTGTGCCCCGTCAGCTGGTGTTCGCCAACTATTAGAAAGACAGCATTGCAAAGTCACTAAACGGAGTAGCAAGATTCATACGCGCAGTTTAGGACACTGTGATTTATAAGCGAGAAGCAACTCTTGAAGAGAAAAAAACCCAAAAGATAGGTGGTGAAATATTTTAAACTGGATTTTTGTCTCTTCACTGTTTTCCCAGTGGAGTCATGGAAGACAGAAGAGCGGGGACTTATCTGCAAAAACCACTCCAGTAAATAAACCAGAGTGAGTTACTGGAGGAGGTCATACCCAAAGTTAATTTGCAAGGATTTATAGCATGTAAAAGCTAGATCAATCAGAAACAGATAATATTTAAATGGTAGAGGAGAATCTCTGCTGTAACACACTGGTTGAGTAAATCTCTAATAAACCCAGTCTTAAAACTAGACCATCACACTTTTTTTTAAAAAATGATACAGGGATTTTCCCTGCCCAAAATAGGACTGCAGGATTTGCATTACTAAAATGAATTTCTATTTATACTTTCTCAAGCGTGCTTCTTGATTGATGACAAGCTGCAGGAACACTGCTGTACTGCAAGAACAAATTCTGGTTTTACAAAAGATACAAACTTCAGTATTGGGTTTTATAATACGCATTTGGTACACTGAGATGCTGATTCTTATCTCCTGTGAACAGGGACAAACAGTAACCACAAACTGGGAGCAGCACCACTGTCACTAGTGGAATTGCACTAACTTATCAAAAATGTGAAATGAATTCAGCATTTAAGCCGTTTGTCATCAATAAACAGACCATGCAAAAAAAAAAAAAAAAAAAAAAAACAATGGGCAATTTTCCAATCAGGTTCAAATTACTTTGATTGGAAGTAAGATTTATACTGAAGTTAACAGCCAAAACTGCTTGAAAACTGTCAGATGGATGTTTATATCTAAAAGGGTTGTCTGGCCAGGAGCTACCCCTTCTCTGCATTTTCTAATGTGATATTAAAAATGGTGATATAGGGATGGTTTTCTGAAGACTGCACAGAGAACCTGCTTACAGTAAATATTTGTGCTAATTATGAAAGTTACCCTTTCAGTAATAACATAGAGCGCAAGGAGTTAATAATTATGAGCAAACCTCGTTATTACATTATTAGACTCTGTAATTTTGGAGGCTTTAATGAGCTGATCAGAAGTAAACGGCGTAAGTAGACGGCATGAGAAGGGCAGGGCGGCAGCGCCGGCACCGCTCGGGGCACGCGAGGTCACTATTATTAGCCACCAGATAAGACCTGCCAGAGATTCTTTCCTCAATAAGAACATCCTAAAAATAAAACACTTTACTGCCCTTGAAAATTAAAGCGCCACTTTGCATGTCCATTTTATTCCTCGCAATACTTAAAACTGCTAGACGAAATGAAAATAAACTGAGCTTTGCGGTATAGATGCAATTTAGGGATTAGCTGAGGGCTGGAGGAGGCAGATAATTCCTCTTGTGCACTGCAAGGAAAGAGCTGTAAATAGTCCGAGGAGGCATTTTCCCTGGCGCATCCTCGGGGAGAGGAGAGCAGGGCTCCACGCTGGGGAGGCTTTGCTGGAGCAAGACACTGCAAAGCAGCGCGTGTGCAAGGGGTGCAAAACCACGGTCAAGCTTTACTGGGCTTGCAAGGGAGCCGGGGTATGGCCTCTTCGGTCACTGCAAGAAATTCTCCCCAAGTTGTTGTGCCAATAGTAGTCTTAGCGCTGATCTCTCTTTGCCAAGGGTGTCATGGCACAGTTTACACCGAGGAGGCTGGGGAAGGCACGACAACTGCAGCGGACGTCTTTGAGATCGAGTCTTTTACCAGCAGCATTTGCTTTGGTTGCCTATAGCGCTGCGATACCTCTGCTCTCCCGTTCCCTGTCTGTGCGGCTTGGAGCAAAAGAAGCTGTACTTTGAAAGCTGCCCTCGATTCATTCATCCCCATTAAAGAATTATGACGTGTGAAGCCATTAGTTGGGAAAGTGAGGAACAGCGAAGCAAAGTGGTTTATCACTGAACTAGGAAGAAAACCCTGATTTCTGTCATCCTTTGTTTCAAGACAACCCCTTCTGGCCTTATCCCAGTACATGCTATGAAGAATTTTTATTATACACTTGGAAAAAACAAATGGCCGTGCCCAGAAGGAGTAATTATTGGGTTTAATACCATTGCCGAATAGTTCATCTCCTTTCCATCCACGACAAAAAAACGTATAACTCTACGAAGGTTTGCTAGCTCAAACACATTAATAATTCAAAATAAACAGTCTATTTTGTAATCCATCTTTTGCTTACAGTAAGCATTAGATACAGAGATATTATTGTTTCAGTCCCCAGTGGCTTGTTAAGCCTACTCGAACACCTTGAGAGACAGAGACAAAGAGAGAACATAATTTGCTGTGTAGCGGGAGACTTTTAAGCCTTTCAGGTCTCTCTGGCTGCAGCCTGGAGATGCAGAAATTTTGACCTGGGGCAGTAAGGACAACCTTCGCTCTGCTCACAGAGGTGCTGTCTCTGACCCCACGGGCTGGAGCACGTTAGCGTTATGATCCGGTCCCAGGATGAGGAGCGGTGTAGGTCCCGTGCCTCCCGCGGGCATGGAAGGGGATGCTCGTGCAGCTCAGCTCCAGCGGGGTTGTCCTCTCTCGCCCCAAGGATGGGCAATGGTGGTTTTGGGTGGTGGTGAGGAAGCCTTCTCCTTCCCTCTCGCTGCCCCCCAGGATTAAAAGCCCAGGGGGAGGAGGGAAAGCTGAGAGGCAGTATTAGAAAGAGGATGTCAGCATATGCCTTGTCTATTAGTGACACAGCTTCGAACCAGCAACCAGGGCTCTGCTGGGGCGAGCAGAGGAGATGGATTCGACACTGCGACGAGGAGCAGCATCGCATGCTGTGCTGCTAAAGAATAACAGCCATAAGGGTTAGGCAGCAACGCTGACCCTAAACTCCCAAAAATGGCACCAAATGGGACACGGTGTGAGTGTCCTTAGCTGCTACCCCACCTGCTTGCAGTGTGCCTGCCTGGGCACAAGAATGTGTCAGCATCAGATGCTTTTAAGGAAAGAAGGGAAGAGATATAATAGAATTAGTTTCTGAAAGAGGACCCTTCTAATTTAGTTATTTTTATAAGAGAAAAAAAAAAGAGGAGGAATAGTGTTTGTCCTAGAGTAAGCTGAGATAAGAATTAAACCCCCTGACAGCGTGGTTTTTTACAGCAGGTAACAACGAAGCCTACCTCTGGGTGCGTGTCCGGTGCAGCTCCGGTAGCACAAGCAGTTAACATTTTTGCGAATGCGTCAGCAGAATGCAAAAGTTTAGGGAGGAATGAGAAAACTCCTTTCCTATCAGCTGTGCCAGCCCTTATCTTAGCCCAAAGTTAAAAATTGTTATATCATCCTTCCTTTCCCTTTCCTTCATCTGTTCCATCTCCTTTAGTTTATCTTCCCTCCAACACAAGCAATGGTACAGTGCCTGGGAAAACGGGATCTGACCCTGACTCGAGCCCACGGAGGTGCCATCGTAACCAACATAAACATAACCCAAGCGCTGCCCCTCCTTGAGGGACCACAAATTGATCACCTTGGTGGCCAACAAGCATGGGTAAGAAACCACCAAGTGGCCACCGGGGACTTCGTGCATGGCACCACATGGAAAAATATTTGTGTTACTCCGCCGGATTTTGATTGGAGCTCTCGTTGTGCGAGGGCTGTGGTCACAGGAGGTCTTCAGGGACCTCCATGGTGGGATGTGCCTGGGACAAACACAGCAGCAATTCGTCTGATCTGTTCTTGCTGATCATCAGCAGAGGAGATGCCACCTCCTTCCTTCATTGCTTCACTAAAAATCCAAGACAATTTCCTTATAGGCACCTCAATTCTATTTTCTGCAAATTAATCTTATCTTTGGCCTGGAGGACAGGGAAAATATCACCAGCTCTCCCTGTATTTGGCAAAATCCTGTGTAGTAACGTTGACCCTTGGCATAAGACCTCTTATCCATCCACCACATTCACATCCACCACGTTAACTCCTGCCACCTTCCTCTCTTGTAAAAAAAAAAAATGCTGCGTTTTAACCACCATTTCCAGCTGGAATTTCAGTATTATCACCAACATCCTGCTCTCATCTACCAACCTATTTGCTCCCTGCCGTGTCTTGCATGGTCTTTCTATAAACAAGACGAAGGAACTGAATGGGCTTAAACCAAACCATCGCTTGCAGCGTTTAGCTTGGTTTTAGGTGAATCGGTTCACCGATGACCCAGGCAGTGCTGAGCCAGAACGAACATCCCAACAGGGACTTTTTCTGTCTTCTCTCTGGTTTCTGATGGCTCAAAGTGACTATTTAGCTCCAGCCACAAATCCAAGCTCTGGTTAGTACCCCATCATCACTAATCCTTCCCTTCCATTGCCATTTTTTTATATCCTTAATAATTGTAATCCTTAAAATTTGTAATTTATTATTTCTTTGAGGTGTAAGGCAGGAAAAAAATGGTTCTTACAAAGTCTTGTGCAAGGCAGAGTTTCAAGAAAACACATCAGCAACAAGAAATCTCACTGATGGCACCAGCCGCCTTAGTGAAAAAGCAATTAGTATACACAATATATACAAAGCTTGAACCAATCAGGCAAAAATGTCTTTGCTTTTCTCATGTTTCTTGCTAAACAGGGTGAATACAGTTTTTTCTAAAGCTCGTTTGATTAAAATGCTATGATTCTGTATAAATAGGAGATCTAGTTTCTTCATCTCAGTTTTCAATCTCAAGTCCAAATTTCACTTGTCAGTTATAGGCAAAATATTAAGGGGAAAAAATATATAAAAGGTACTACTTACCCATAAAGGATTTTCAGCTAGGAAATCTCTTTTATGTTATTTGAAATGTTTCTTTGGAAACTGTCAGTTGTTACCCAAGTCAGGTCATACGTGGGGTGGGGGGTGTTTGTGCTAGCTACTCCTGAAAGGCAGTTTAGGAAAAAAGGCTATTGTTGGCAGGCTTAATTTGGTCCGCAAGAAAAAAATTGCCTTTGGAGCACTTTTTGAGGTCTGCTGGTATACATGAGTGATTTAAATGGTCCTTACTGTTAGAAGTATTTATTCCGATAATTCTTCAGTCAGTAAATTTGTGGTTTAGGATTAAACACAGCAATATATTTTTAGGGGCCTGATTAATGGTCACAGGTGGATTTAGCTCCAGTGGTTGTGGTGGTTTTTTTCCCCTGCTGTCAGTTTTGGTTTATTTTAAAACTCCAGTCGCTGAGTGCGGGCACATCACCCCTTCGCCCAGCCACAGCACTGGGGGTAACGTCCCGGGCGGGCAGGGGGACGCCGAGCGGGGCGGCTGCTTCGCTGGCTGGAGCCAAACCCATTTCCAACCAGGAATCGCTGCTATCCACTTGGCTTAGACAATAAATGTTATTGGTTTGTGGTTGGTTTCTTTTTTAGTATCTTGATTCAAAGATAAAATTTGCATGTAACGGCAGAATTCACAGGAAGAAGAAATACAAATATTTGGAAATCTTACAGTCAGGTAAAGCAAAACCGGTGCCTTGAAAATGCGAGTTGACTGCTCTGGCATGAAGGACAGAGGAATCCCTGTGTACAGCCCAAGCCTGCCCCGACCGCTCCATCCCTGCCTGCTGCAGGTCTCGGCCCCGCGGGAGCCGCTTCCCAGGCTGCCAGGAGGGCTGCCCTGCTCCCCAGGGCGATGCACACAGGGGCAGCAGCAAAACCGCCTTTTGCTCCCGGTTCCTCACGCTGGGAAGCACATGCCATCCCTGTGGAAAGGAAGAGGCAGCAGGGACCGCAGCCTCGGCACAGAGAGGGAAGGATGCCCGGACGCCTGCTGTCCAACCTTCCCATCACCTTCCTCCTAGTTCGGGAGGAAAGTTTTGGTGGGTCCCGCTCGGAGCACCGGCGGTGGAGGGGGAGGGGGGGAGCTGCAG